GCGGGCGGGCGGGCGCGGCGAGGGGCTCGCGCCGAGGTGGAGCCGGGCCGCCGCCGCCCGCGGCCCCCCCGCGCCCGCTCCCCTCCCCCCCCCCGCCCCCCCGGTCCTGTCTCCAGCGGGAGCGCGAGACGCTGGTCAGGCTCCGCGGCGCCGCGGAAAATGAGCACTCGCCCCCGTTGACTCGAGTCGCCGCGCCGGCCGCGCCGCGCTGCCTTCTCCATTGCTCCCCGAAAAGCGAATCAAAACAAAAAGCCAGCAGCCAACCAAGACTCCGGCTCGTCGCTCGCCTTGTTTTTTTCACCGCCTGCGGGATTCGCGAGCCGCGTTACATGCATGTCCAGTGGGGGTAGGTTTAATTTTGACGATGGAGGGTCCTACTGCGGAGGCTGGGAGGACGGCAAGGCGCACGGCCATGGCGTCTGCACCGGCCCCAAGGGCCAAGGCGAATACACCGGCTCGTGGAGCCACGGCTTCGAGGTGCTGGGCGTCTACACCTGGCCCAGCGGCAACACGTACCAGGGCACTTGGGCGCAGGGCAAGCGCCACGGCATCGGCCTGGAGAGCAAGGGGAAGTGGGTGTACAAGGGCGAGTGGACGCACGGATTTAAGGGGCGCTACGGGGTGCGGGAGTGCACGGGCAACGGGGCCAAATACGAAGGGACCTGGAGCAACGGGCTGCAGGACGGCTATGGCACGGAGACCTACTCAGATGGAGGTAGGTGCCCGAGGGTCGGGATGGGGTCGGGTGGGAGGAGGGACCCTCCCCAATCCCCCCTCTGTTTATCTCCAGGGAAGTTGAGCCTCTCCCTCCCCTTGGACTGTGGGCGCTCAGGGCATTTCTTGGGTTCTCTGGAGGCCTCAGTGGCCCTGGCTACAGGTTGCCCCAGGCCTGGTGGGGGGCAGCGCCGGGGTGCCAACTCAAGGGTGTCGGGGGCTCTCCAGCAGCAGAGCCAGGCTGAGGGCTGCTGCTTGAGCAGTGGATGAGCGCATCACCCAAGAGCAGGCCAGAGACCTGCTGGCAAGGCCAGGCTGGGCCGGTGGCCACCTCTGGGACCCACTAGGGGTGGAGGGGGTGGCTGGAGAGGGCCCACTTTCCTCCAACACTGTTGCCCCCCTGGTGTGGCTGGAGTCAGGTACCAGCTTCTCTGCTTGTTTTCCTGCGGCGCCCAGGGCCTCCCTCAGTCCTGAACCAACCCAAGCCAACGGAGAGGGAGACTGGGAGCACTGGGGGGGGGGGGATGCCAACCCAAACCAAAACAGCCAGGCAGTAAACTTCTTGGTGGTTGGACGCGGGCTAGCACTGTCGAGCAGGCTGCTGGAGGGAGGAGGGAGGCCATCTGCTTAGCGAGAGCCCAGGAATCTCTCCTTTCAGTGGCTGAACCATTTTTACCGTTAGTCGGGGAATGGCTCTGGGTCTTCATTCTAAGATGCCACCACATCCCAGCCGGACAGAGCCAGGTGCCGGAAGCCAGTGAACTGCCTGTAAGATGGTTTCTGTGCAGGAAGCCTTGGCTGGCTTGGCAGCTGCCCTCTTGCCTGGACTCTCCAGTACCCACAACTCCATGCCTCTGAGAAGCAGGGAGCCATAGCGACTGGTCTCAGAAGCCAGACCCAAACCCAGGCGGGCCCACGGCCCCTCCCCCACTGGGAGCTCTTGCCCCGAGGTGGCTCCCGCCTCCCTCCAGGCGGCTCTGCTGTTTTGCAGGCCTGGATGCCTGGGAAGGGAGTGAGACGCAGCAGCAATGACTTGTGCTTCTGCTGGGGATAAAATCGTGAGTGTGAGCGTCTGTGTGCTCGCCCTGCCTGAGCCTCCTGCAGGAAGCCCAGAGCTCTGCTCTTCCACATCCAGGAGAGATGGAGGGCTGGAGAGTAATTATTATTTTGGCTTATGCAACTGAAAGGCAGGGCTCCTTATTACCCAAAGAGGAGGCGGAGTCTGGGCAGTTAATTATATAATGCTCCCGCCTGCCGGCTCCAGGCCCAGCCCGGTCCCAGGAGGCCTGTGCTCTTGTTTTCGTGGAGCAGGTCGGAGAGCCCCACGGCCCCTGGGCCTGAGGGCCAGGAGGGAGCAGGCAGCCCTGCTTCGGAGCCAGGCTTCGGAGCCAGGCGTGGGCCTGTGTGTGTGTGCGCGCGTGCTTGCACACGCAGGCCTGGCAGCAGTTGTGGGTGGCAGAGGCAGGCAGGCAGGCAGGCAGGCAGCCTGGCGCTCCCAGCTGGGCTCTGGGGGAGCCCAGGGCAGTTGTCGCCCCCAGGGCTCTGGCTGGACTGACTGCTCTGCAAAACTGTCCTCCAGAGGGGCTCCCAGTGAGTGGTGACTGCTCCAGACTGTGCTCCACGTCCTGGGGCAGGCCAGCTTCACCGGGCAGGTGGGAGGAGGCCTTGGCCTCTCCTTGCCTGTGACGCTGGTAGGAATTGCCCGGGGTGAAGTCATGTTCCCAGGCCTTGAGCAGCTCCGGTGGCCTGAGGAATTCTTTCCCTCATTGGACAAATACCTCCTGGGCACTTGCAGTGACCAGGTGCTCGGGGCTGTAGGAACACAGCAGTAAGCAAGCGGAGGGCGTCCCTGCCCTCAGGGAGCTTCTGTTTGGGGAGAAGAGTGGAGACCCCCTGGGGATTCTGCAGGGAGGGAGCATCTGCTGGGCTGGCTGTGAGCTCGTCCCTGCGAGGTTGATGTGGGCAGGTTCTCGGGGCCACCTCCTTGGGCTTTCCAGCCCTGCGTCCAGCCAGTTCCCAGAGTGCTTCCTGTGTGTCCTGCTTTGTCCTGCCCATTGTACAGGCGAGGCCAGTGAGCCTAGCTGTCCACACTAGCTGGAGTCCTGGGCTCCAGTCTGGGGCAGCAGAGGCTCTGTTCGTCCGGGGCCACGCCCCCTTGTTCCCACCCCACCTGCCCGCCAGCTGCCCGGCATGTCCACCTTGTCTCAAGGGACTCTGGTCCTCGGGTCTCCTGTAGGCGCTCTGAGGGGGAGCACAGGTGCCAGCTTCGGGGATGGTCCTCCCTCTTGGCTGGCCACATAGCCTGAGGGAACATTGAGTTGACCCTCTGCCCAGGGGTGACCAGGCTCAGGCATCTGGGGCTAGTTCTCTGAATGTAGTCCCAGCTTCTCAGGGGAATGGAGTGACCCCTCAGGACTTGCATGCCTGGGCAGTCTGTTTGTGTCCACAGTGGGGTGTGGTCACCTGCCAGAGTAGGGCAGGGGTCTTGCCGCCGTCTCCCTCCTGTGTCAGGGACAGACGGAGCCTTCAGGAGGGAAGGTCCCACCGCCAGTCCACTTGGCTTTTGTCCAGGAGGTGGGAATTTGGGGCAGCAACTGCAGAGCTCCCGAACTTTAGCCCAGCTCCAGTGCTGACTTGGGAAACGCGGCCTCATGGAGAATGCAGCAGTGGCGAATGTCTCCCACATCGAGCTGGGGCTGGTGTGGACTGCGCTTCGGCTGGGGACACTTGTGCCAGCTCCTCCTCCGGCTCACCCTCCCCCGGCTCAGGCAGGCGCTGCTCTTAAGTGAGCCGAGCAGCTCCCACCGCCTGCCTGCGTGGTGTGCCTGAGCCTGGGCGGCAGGGCAGAATCTGCCACCTGGCCTTGGAGCCTTACCCTGCCGGAGCTCTGTGCTGTGGCCTTGGGCAAGTTACTTAACCTCTCTGAGCTGGTTTCCTCGGTTTGCAGAGGGCTGGTGACAGAGCTGTGAGTGGCCAGGAGTGGCCGTTTGTGTGCAGGTGGACCTGCAGGAACGCAGCAGGCGCCTGTGGTGGGCCGCCCTTGTTGCCACTGTTGGCAGTGGTGCCACCGTGATGGCCATTAGAGCCACTGGCCAGGCATGATGGGGTGCCCGTGCACACACGAGCAGGCTGCGGTGCCTGTGCCGTGTCGGGCTCCCAGCTCCACACCTGCAGAGGTGACCCCGCAGGTCCCATCCTGGCTGGGGAGCCAGCGCTCGCAGTGAGGAATGTGGGGGAGGGAGGGCCGGGTCCACGCTCAGGGTGGCTCAGGCCACCTCTGCCCACTCGCTCATGTGGAATTCCTATTCTTTCCCATCTCTCCTTCCCTCTGGGTGCAGTGCCCAAGTGCAGGCCGGCTACCCCACCTGTCCCTGGGGCCCTGAGTCCCCTCGTGCCTCCCCGCTCGCTGGACCCTGTGCTTTCTGTGCAGGTAGATGTGTCTCCTGGGCGCTGTGGACGCAGAACCCTTGGACTAAAAGTCACCCCCTCTGATAATCCCGCCCACATCCTGAAAGGTATGAGTCACTCACACCCGGCCTCTCGCCCTCCTGCGCAGGGCCGCTCCCCGGCCCAGACTCCTCACCCACACAAATCACACACACCCACAGCCAGACGAGCCACCCAGGCGCCTGCGCACACACGCGCACAACACACCTGCCACAGTCCCCACCCCGCCCCCAGCGGCCATGTGCCCCCTCCCCGTGGCTGCACCCTCACCCCGTGCTCTGCTCCCTGCAGCCTGCCTGGGGAGTTCCGCCGGCTCCCTGGTGGCACGCCTCGCTTCCGTGGGAAACTCAGCGCGCGGCTAGTGCCTGTGGAGAGAGCCCCGTCCTCTCCTCCACCCAACATGAACTGCCCACTGGTGTAGTATTGGTGCTTGTTGAAGTCCAGACGCCCAGGTCAGGAGGAAGCGTCCCCTGGACACAGACACTGCACCAGTAGATGCTCGTCCCAGAGCAGAGCACGAGAGCCCTCCCGCAGGGTGGGGGGAGGCGATTCTCAGTGATGCTCTTTCAGCCACGGGTGGGGTGTTGAGAGGCTCCATGGCTGAGGGGGGAAGGTGAGCAGGTGACCTCCCCTCACAGCTGGGAAGGGGGTTGTGAGCAGCGTCCCCTCTCCCAGCTCTTCCGCAGGGGCCCGCCGAGACCCGGAGGCAGTGAGTGGCAGGGTGCTGGTGGAGTCCCGGCTGATGCCAGCCTTCAGGGTGGCAGGAGGCAGGAGCGGGTCCCAGCCGCGTGCTCTCGGGGCCTGGGGAGAGGGAGACCTGGGAGGCTGGGGCCTTGCCGTCCTCAGTTCCCCAGTCTAAACAGCCATCCGCCTCGAGCTAGTGATTTTTGTGGAACTTTTGTGCCTTTAAATGACAAGTACGTCCAGGTCTGTGAGTGCTAGGAGGGACGCCTGTGGAGTGTCCACGGTAGACCCTTGTGGGTCGCTTTGCCCAGGGCGCAGGGTCCTGGTGGGAGAGGCCACCGCCTCTGGGCTCTGGTGCAGCGGCGGCGGGCTCTTCAGGACCTTGGAGAGCGACGTTCCAGGCCTGCGCCGTGCGGTTCTCTGCAGGTGACCTCCTGGAGCCCGCACACGTCCTCACTGGGGACCGCGTGGACCCTGGGCACTCCTCGCTGAGGACCACCTGGCCAGGACTTCCCGCGGGCGGGGCTCAGAAGTGTGCCCGGCCCAGCTCTGTCCGCGTGTGGGTTCTGTTTCAAGGAGCGTTTGCCTGTGTCCCCGACTGTCAGTCTGTTCTGAGGGGGCGGAGCGCCTGCCAGGTGCCGCCACCTACTGGTGGACTGAGAGTGTCCCGGCCGCCCGCCAGCAGGCTTGGGGGCTTGAGGCCCTCCAGGGCCCTGGGCGGCCTCCGCTGGTGTGTGCAGGGCCCTGCGGTGAAGCAGGTGCCCGGCTGGCCGGGGAGGCAGCCAGGGAGAGGGCATCGCTCCCCACTCAGCACCAGTGCCCCTGCCAGTCACAGAGGCCCATTCAGCACGCGCCCCCAGCCATACGTGG